ATATATATAAACTAAAATAGGAAATCAGTGGTACTAAAATAACACTTCACTGCAATATTCCATTAAAATATAGATAGATAGATATATAGATAGATTAACCTTGCAGAAAAAGCAGCAGCCAATCAACATTGTTAATCTAGAAATCTAGAAATGTTGCCTTAACAACTTAAAGTACTAAAACTACTAAAAGTAAAGCTGAAATAAAAATAAAGCAAAATTAATATTTAAAAAACAAAACCTAATAAAACTGAAAAGAAAGAGAACCGAAAATATAAAAATAAAAGCTAACTAAAAATATTAATAAATATTATAATACTATGTAATTATATACTTACATACATACATAAATAATTCTTTTTTTCCCCCTTTTTTTTTTTTGCAAATAGGATTTAAAAACAACTTTAATTTTGATTTATTTATTTTCTTTTACATTTCAAATTTGCACATTTGTAAAAATTCCATTTCCAGATATTGCCATTATTTCCAGATTTAGCATCATAGTTTATTTGTGTTGATTTGTGGGGTGAAATATAACCCATACATTTTTGTCTAATGAAAGAAGCTTCTCTGTCATGTTACTACTTGAGAAAATGTTCAGAAAGCTTTGCTCCTTTACGCCTCTCCTTTCTGGTCTTTTCTCCCTCCCTCCCTCCCTCCCGTCATATATTTAGTAACTGTGTGTGGTGGGCGGTGCAGGATGCGTGGGCATGTGGTGGTGGTGGTGGTGGTGTGTGTGTGTGTGTGTGTGCGTGTGCGTGTGCGTGAGCCGTGATCTCAGCATATGCTGCCACCTCCACGGCTGTGTCAGTGCCTTTCCTCCCATCCACATCATTCACTGGTAGCTGCAGCCTTTCATATTCAGGTTTCGTGCTCTAGTCATTTTGTGTCGCTGCTATATGCCCCGCTCAGGTTTGTGGTGTCAGGCGGTTGCTCTGGGCTGGACGAGTGCTCTTTGGCAGTCATCCGTCCATGAAGAGCCCCGTCTGACAGTGTCATTTTAGCCTGTGGTAACAAGGACACAAAGGCCATTGAGCCAGAAACCGGAAACAGGAGTGTGGGAAATCGGGCAGGAGATGATGTCACTCGGTTTGCAACTTTGAGACTTTGGGAGTAATAGTCATTTATACCGCAAGTGGTTATTAGTATTATTATTAGTGCTCTTTACTAAGGCGTCACTGTTTCTGTTGCTCATATTTATAGATTTGAGCAAAGCCATAACCCTCGGTGTTTAACTTCAGCACAGCTCGTCCTACGCTGTGTGTGCTACAGACATGAATGAGATTTAAAAACAAGCCGCTTGTTGAGGAGAGTTGTGCTGTTACTTTTCTGAGGGATCAGACTGAAGATGCAAAACCATTCAAAAGCCTGGGGTCATTTTTTATTTGAAGGAAAGAAAGAAATTAATACTTTTATTCAGCAAGGATGCATTCAATTGATCAAAAGTGAAAGTAAAGACATTTATAATGTTGCAAAAGATTTCTATTTCAAATAAATGCACAAATAATCCTATATATATATATATATA